TTCAGAAACATGAAAAAAAATAGAAAAATTTATCAGATGTGAAAGTTTATAGCTACTCTCACTAAACATAATACAAAATGCTTTTTAAACTGAAAGTGGGTGCTTTAAGCTTCAGCAAAATGACAGAATAATATACTTTACAACAGACAGATTATGTAAGCAGAAGTGAGAGTTTTCAGGCTTAGGAAAATTTGTAAAATAAGATGCATTTGCAAGGATGGCATGCACAGAGGGCAGACAATAACAGTAATGGGTTTGCCAGAGTGCTATCTGATTGTAAAAGTGCAATGAGTTTGCCAGAGTGCTATCTGATTGTAAGAGTGCAATAGGTGCATGAGAGCACTATGCATATGTGGGAGTGGTTATATTGATAAGAGCAATGTGCATGGGCAATAAGGGAGGTAGGCTGATGGAAATAATGCAATATTGTGCATATATAAGTTTGATTCTATTGTCCATCTCTCCCTACCTTTTCTGATCTTCTGAAAACTTTTTCTATAAAGGACATGTGTCTGTGAAGATTGCATGTCTGTGACACCTGTACCCCTGTGTACTGGTATTGGTCTCTGCACAGGTTGGCCCCACCCATGCTCTACACTGGCTATTATAAGGGTAATGATAAACTAGGCTATTATAAGAGACTCAGTAGATACTATTAGGTGGTAACTCAAATTAGTGCAGTCTTAAAGACATCTTATTATAACCTTTCAGGAATCGTTACTGCCATGCGAAGCAATGGCCCACTCTAAACTAGTTGATTTTGTGAAGTGTGTAGTCGCCCAGAATTTCTTCTCAACTATACCTACTTCTCATTAAGGCACAGGCACACACATGTGCACATACTATTCTCCTATACTTATCTGATACATAGGCTTATGACGTGCTTCTGTCAGATCACATCATGGTAAAGGTGGCGCTCACAAGACTCCAAAGTCGAAAGTGGCAATCTCTGAAGATTCCGAGTACATATGAATTATTTACATTATGCTGTGTAATGTTGACAGGAATCGTTACTGCCATGCGGACTAATGGCCCACTCCACACAAGTCTACATCCCAGCTGAGTCATACTATGAATACCTGATCAGTGTGATGGGCCTCATGAGAGGAGCAGAGGCTACCTAGATTACAGAATGCATCCACAATGCCATTGCACTCCAAGAGAAGTCCTGATGAGATGTTGGCCAGTACTGAAAGCTCTGGCGCAGAATAAGCTGCTTTGGTGGTGGCGTGAAGCTTGTGGCAGAACATCAGCTGCAAAACCCCTGCTACCTGATCTGTCAATGGCATGGGTGGCTGATCGCTCATGTTGTTAATAAACATGATTAAGTCGTGGTCTGGCCTATAGGTGGCTTCCGCCAAGGTACAGGTCAGGCAGTGCTCTCTGCGTGGCATCAGGCAGTGCTCTCTGCGTGGCATCAGGCAGTGCTCTCTGCGTGGCATCAGGCAGTGCTCTCTGCGTGGCATCAGGCAGAGACTGGGGAAAAGGGCAGGTTAGAACACTGCACTGAATACATGCTGCTGCCCACAATCTGCTCATGAATATGCATGCACATACTGCATGTAAGTTATGCTGCAAGCCAGATTGATGGACACTGTTCCACTTGGTGGGCTGGATGATCTGCCCAGGTATTCAATGTGCAAGCGGTGATTGGCTCAGAGTCGAAGTCTGAGGTCAGATGTTTGTTGGACTGATCGGTGATATCTGAGTGATGATCATTGCCAGATTGACTTCTTGGAGCACCTATGAGATAGAGTTGGCACTGCACCTTCTTGCACTTGCACAAATGCTCATAAAGACTGGTATGTGAGCAATGCACTGGGGTTTGATCTTGCCTACAGATGAGATTGAAGGAAAAATCCTTCTCCAAAATGCCAATAAAATTTGTGATCCTCCCTGAGTACCAGCCCACAGTTTCTCGCAAGACCATAGTGAAAGGCCTGTGCATCAGGCTCAAGTTAGAATTTGAAGATGTTGGCCAATTTGACAACATTATCATTGACACTGTAGGTGGGACTGCATCATTTCTGTACATGTGTTGATGAATGGTTGAACAATTGCACCAGGCATGGGGAAGAAAATCCAGCCAGGAAGGTAATGCATATGGCAGGAAAGCCCAATGGCTTCAACAGACTGTCATGGAAGCCACCAACTAAGTGGTGATAGAAGGGAACACCACAGTCGGCAGAGAAGGCCCAGAACTGGACCAATGGAACTCTAGATGATGAGACTAAAGTGAAGTGTATTGAGAACTATACCGTGCTGGCTGTTACAGTGACAATTATCCAGGATGCAAGAGCAAAAGATAATATCTTACCTCGGCAAGTTTGCCAACATGATGTGAGACACGATAGGAGTCAGAATGGCCTTCATGCTGGCATACCCTAAGGAGGGAGGCACTGTCTGTGTGGAAATCCACCTTACTGCCATGAGCTAACGGACACCCAGGGTGGACCTCAATCATACCATTGGTGATGCCACCACTTTCGATTCTCACCCCAGCTGGTTGGCTCAGCAAGAACTTTGCAGAATGGGCCAACGGAGCATATGGTTAGTGCAGAGATGCATGTTGCCTAGTGTAATGCTCACAGTTCTGCCAGGGCTGACAGAGGTGGTTGCAGAGCTAAAGAAGATGCCAGGTCATCATCACCTTGACCCATGTGGTGACCTTGCTTACTGATGGCTTACCAGTGTCCTCACTGAATGCACAATCTGTGCTCGCCTTGCAGGTGCTGGGTTCCTGGTTGTTACGCTGGGGCGTACCACTTGTCCGAGGTTCGTCGAGCAAGTACTAAGTGGTTCGACGACTAAGTAAATGCGAGTCAAGAATCGAGAGTCAAGAAGATCACACAAGGACTAGTGATAATCCCGTGTATTGAGAGGTAAAGTAACCAGATCAAGACTGGGGTTCCAGTCGACGATCTCAGCCTTATATACTAATAGTACATGTTGAGTAATACATGCCAGTAATGGCTGAGTCAGTGAGTACCCTCGTGAGGGATGAGTCAGTGAGTACCCTCACAGTGAGGGATGAGTCAGTGAGTACCCTCGTGAGGGATGAGTCAGTGAGTACCCTCACAGTGAGGGATGAGTCAGTACAGGTTCTAGACTATGGTCTAGAGAGAGTCCAGATCGAGTCGAGAGATATCGAGACTCGAAGTCTCGGGTTAACGCGTAATTGTACAATGTAATCAAAAGAAAAAAGATAGGTACTCAATGTACCGTCGTAACATAAGCCCCTTCCTATGCCGCCTTTGCCCTCAAAGGCATTTCTACGTATCTCCTGCTTCCGACGGTGTTACACTGTTCATCGGAAACCCTTCAGTATACAACGAACCCGTTCCATCAAAGTCAGAGAATCGTGGGTCCGTTTGAGGGTCAGGGTAGGAGAACGCTATCTCGCGCGCATCGTAGTTTGTGTAGAAGTCATGAGAGTGGGAACAACCTTCTATCGTGTGGCCAGGTGCTTGTTTTCCACAGTAGTAGCAACACATCCTGTTGGATAGCAACGCAGGGCATGCGTTCGGGTCGTGGGATGCGGGGACAGATTGACAGATTATGCAAATGGAAAATGGGCAGGTATACTTTGGATGGGTATACTGTCTGCAGAATACGCACTGGGGATGTGGTCGTTGATATGCGATGTATGCTGGGATGGTTCGGTGTGGCCCGATGAGTGCTGTGGAGAAGGCGGGAGGAAATGGGGAGATGTTCCTTCCAGGCTCACTTTCTTCTGGATCTACAAGGGTCTGAGTCGATTGGTCCGAGTGTTGGGACGTTTCGGTCTGCACCGCATTTTCCGTGGTCATCGGGGATAATCCTTCAGCATGATGGTTGGGATTGTCGCTAAAGTTCCACTCCGACACATAATCTGGAGGGGGAATTGGGCGTAGAGGTCGTGCGATGGAAACACCTTCATGAGTCGCTGCTGGAGCGGAAGACGTTGAAGCGCCTTCGAACAAATCGAACGGGTTCGGGGTAGGAACCGTTATGGGGTCGAAGGCGAGATGTGATGGTCGCGGTGGAGGTACGGGGGGTGTCCCCTCTCGCGGGGTCTCCGGTGGCATGTCTGTTAAAAAGGTGGGGAGGAACGACTGCGTGGCGTCTGCATCAAGCTCGACGAGTCATTGGTACAAGTTCGTCTGGGCAAACATTAGAGCTAGCATTTCCTCCTGTCACTGGATTCTATCCCCCATGCTTAATGCTAATGCTTCCATCCTCTCCGTGTATCGTCATGTCCCTGCTATTGCATGCTGCATGAAAATAATCTCCAATTTGGCAGCTTGTTGCGAATGGATGATCCTAAGCGCATACTGCACGTGAGAGTCGTCCAACGTGGTTAGGGCTTGGAGATACAACTCCTCGTATTCTGCAAGTACACGGATCGCCCTTGACTTGTGGAGCTCACGATTCATCCAGGGCATGTCGGGTAAGGATGGCGTGGTGGCTCTAGAACGTATGGGATTGATCGAGTCAACTACGCCAACGACGAAGTCTTCTAGGTCACCAATAGTTCCAATTTGTCATGAGAATCGGAGATGGGCCCTAAGGCTATCTTGTATGTCGTGCGCTGGTACTCCCCTAAAGTCCCTAGGGTGTGGCGAGGGAGTCGGAGAAGTTTCAGAAAAGTAGTCATCGACAACGGACTGCGCTCCAGATGATGGCATAGTGGAGGTTCAGAAGTGGTGAAGGCTTATGCGGGTGATTGCTGAGATGCGACACAGGTGTCGTCACTTTTTATATTCCCCTAGTAGCCCCTTGGCATTTGCCAGATTTGCTTCGGGTTCCCATGAGTTCTCGGCAGAAGCATATCCTTTCCACTTGACCAGGTATTGGGTCCGACTGTATCTTTGTCAGTGGTTTAGGATTGCTTCGACTTCGTATTCCTCGTGCTCTTCGATAAGGTCAGGTGGTGGTCTCGTATCATTCGGGCCATGGATCTCCATTTCTTTGTAAGGTGATAGAAGGCTGGCATGGAATACAGGGTGGATTCTCCATCCTCATGGTAGGGTCAGGCGGTAGTCCACTGGGCCTATACGTTCTTCAATAATAAAGGGGCCTTCACATTTTGGAGCCATCTTCCGTGTCGGGTACCCGATGTTCAGGTTCTTCGTATTGAGCCAGACCTTCTGACCCTTTGTGAAGTGTGGTGAGCCCTTTCTGATCCGTTCTGCCATATGCTGTCTTGCTAGCTCGTGCATGGCTAGGGCCTCATCTCGAATCTTCTGGAGTTCAGATAACCGAGTTTCCACCGAGGGTACATTTGTCCTAGGGAGTACCGATGGGATTTCGTGTGGTTCGTATCCCATCATTATGCGGAATGGCGACATCTTCCACGCTGAGTGTTCGCATGTGTTATGGCAGAATTCGAGGTCCGGTAGTCGGTCTACCCATGACTTGGGGTTGTTGCCACAGTAGAGTCGGAGGTACACTTCTAGTTCTTGGTTAACGCGCTCCGTTTCTCCATCTGACTGGGGGTGGTAGGCTGTACTCATCGAGGACCTGATTCCTAGTATCCTGCATAGTTCTTGGAATACGTGTGATGTGAATTGTGTTCCTCTATCAGAAATCAGTTTATCTGGGAGTCCGAATCGGGAGTAAACTTTTTCATGGAAAAGTTTTGCCGTTTGATCTGCTGTGACCGTCTTCGAGCAAGGGCAAAGAATTACCTCCTTCGTAAGGTCATGGTCTACCGCAACCATGAGAGAGTCAAAACCATGTGATACTGGTAGGTCTGTGATGAAGTCGACTGATGAACAGGAAAATGATAATGCGTTCAGGGTTGCTGGTATAGGCATTGGAAGAGATTTAGTGGGGTGCATATTAATCTTCATCTGTTGGCACCCTGCGCATCCTTCCACATAGGCGCATACTGCAGAGTAAAGTCCTGGCCACCAGAAATTGTGTCGGACGAGTTCAAGGGTTTTGTAAGAACCCGGGCGTCCCATGGCCAGTGTGTCATGGTACAACCTGATAATATCACGTCGAAGAGGTTGTATTGGGGGTACATATACGCGTCCTCAATATTGGACAAGCCCGTCGGTGATTTTCCAATCATCGAGGGCAGATTTCATTGGTGGTGGTCCTTTGCGCTGCAAGGCTTGAAGCGCATCGTGAACAATTTGATCTTTAATTGAATGTGCGTGAATATCTTGGTATAATTGCATTGATATTGAGTGCACAAACAATGCTTCTGGGAGAAGGATACGATCTTCGTTATCATGATCTCGGTCACCCTTTCCAAGCAACCGAGATAGGGTGTCCAACTGTATCATTTGCGTCCCTGGGACGTGCACCAACTGGAGTTCAAATTGTGATAAGAAGAGACTCCATCGTGCTTGACGTCTGTTCAGCTTCTGGGCTGTCCGATAGTAAGTCAGGTTCTTGTGATCACTGCATATAGTTATCGGGTGGGGAGAGCCATCAAGGTAGTGACACCACTCTTTGAGGGCCCAAACGATCCCTAATAGTTCTCTGTCATAGATTTCGTAGTTTCATTTGGCTGGGTTAAACGATTTTGACAAATAGCTGCATGGGTGGAGGTCTCCATTGACATCAGTTTGTCTTAACACTGCTCCTGTAGCCACGAGCGAGGCATCGGACTCGATAATAAAGGGTTTCATCTTATCTGGCATGAGGAGTACGGGGGCTGATACAAACTTTGCTTTGAGCATATCAAACGCTTGTTGGCAGTTGGGGGTCCATTCCCATATCGGTTTCTTTGTCGTCATCGTGAGATCAGTGAGCGGTCGTACTATCTCAGAATAATGATCGATGAACTTCCTGTAAAAGTTCGCAAAACCAATGAATGCGCGGACGGCTTTCACCGTTGTTGGTTCTGACCAGTCCTGGATTCCTTTCAACTTGATTGGGTCCATTCCAATATGGTCCGGACGTATGATCATCCCAAGGTATTCTACTTCTTGGGAGTCAAACGTGCATTTCTCTGGTTTGACGAACAGATCGTTTTGCTTGAGTCGTTCTAGGACTCGAAGCGTACACTGTCGATGTTCTTCCATGTTATTCGAGAAGATGAGGCTGTCGTCCATGTAGATGATCATCCATCCTTCATCGAGCAGGTCCTTAAAGATTTCATTCATCATTTTCTGAAACGTCGCTGGGGAGTTGCAAAGTCCGAAAAACATCACCGTTGGTTCGTATAGTCCTTGATTTGTCTTGAATGCTGCTTTCCACTGATCGCCATCTTTGATTCGTACATTGTTATATCTGGATCGAAGGTCCATTTTCGTAAAATAGCACGCTCCTTTGAGTTTGTCAAGGAGTTCTGTGATCAGAGGAAGTGGGTAGGCATTCTTGACCGTTCCTTCGTTCAGGTATCGATAATCTTGGCAAGGCCTAAGGCTCCCATCCTTTTTCCCTACGAAGAAGAAAGGGGATGCCATTGGTGATATTGATGGTTGAATATAGCCTTTTCGTGTATTCTCGTCTAGGAATTCATCGAGTGCCATCTGCTCTTTAGGGGATAGGGGGTAGATCTTGCAATCTTTTGGTACGAATTCTGGTTTTAAATCGATAGCATGGTCCCATGCCCGTGAGCTCGGGAACCGTTCTGCTGCTTTCTTTTCGAAGACGTCTTTGTACCCCATCAGGTAGGAGGGGATGAGCTCTTCGAGCTTCTTCTTCGCTCCTCCTGCCCTTTGGATTGCTTCTTGTACCAATTCTTGCGATTTTCCGCTAGCCTTATAGAGCAGTGTGTCCGTGCCGGTGTGACATAGCCAAGTGTTTTGTGTGATACTAAATCGCCCAAACCGCGTATCCCTCGTTATCCGACCTATACAGGGTCCCAAGGTGGGTTTGTTACCACCTCGAGTTGGGCATTCAGGAGTTGCTGCATCGCCTTGCGGGTCAAAGATTGCCAGTATCGGTTCGCCTTGGATATATGAGATAAGTAATTCGCTGTCCTCCAATTCGATCCTGTAATTGGGAATTCCTAGTTCTGGGTCCCCTGGTTTAACTCGATTTTCCGGATGTTTTGGATCGTTATTTTCCCAGGATCGTCCATTATCGTCAATCGGTCCGATATAGGGAGCGTTTGTCGCCTTTTTGACCTTCGGTTCGTTATCTCGGACTGTTTCGACGGTGGGTTTTCTCCAATCGTAATCCAGTTCGCCGGTTTCCCAGTTAATTTGAGGGTTCATCGCCTGAAGCCATGGTAACCCTAGGATAACCTCATCCTTTCCTAGGTTGGTAACATAGTACTGGAATACCTTTTGTTTTCTTCCAGCCTTTGTACGTTTCCATACGCAGTGCATTGCATATCCTAACTTGTTTGGAGTACCGTCAGCATTGAGAATCCTAATCGGTTTTGGGAGTCTCTCCTGGTGGTATTTCATTTGTTCGATAAACACTTTGTCCATAAACATTCCTCCAGCTCCTGAGTCCAATAGAGCGAAGATATCAGCACTTTCACTCGGCACACCCAAGGTAATAGGAACGTGTATCGATTTTCCCAGGAATTCGCATACAATTACATTGGGGTGACGAGTCGGTAATGACGGTACTGACGCTGTTACAGCCTGTCGGATCCAAAATCCAATCCTTCTAATTTCCTGATCCAGTCGTTACGTTCTTTCTGCATCTTTCGTAACTCCTGGAGTAATTCGGAGACGTCACTGTCGGAAATGGTCGTTCTTTTGACCGATGTGGTGTCTTCTTCGACATCTTCTACCTTTGAGGTTGAGGGTTCCCCTTTGGATTCCTCGACCTGTATCTCCTTGCGCATTCCGGAAGTGTTTCCGGGGTTCTTTGGCTTCTTCTTAGGACAATCATGCGAGCGGTGTCCTTGTTGGTGACATTCAAAGCAGAGTCCTCCTTTGATGTGCCTGTCGCATTCTTCTTGCGACATGTGGTCGACATCCATGGCATTGGGGTCTCGTGTGTAAACAGGCCCCTTCCTCTGTTGTTGTCCCTGCTTCTGCTGCTGTCCACTAGGGCGACTGTTCTGGAATTTCATATACATCTGCATCGACTTGGTCTGGTTGTCAATTTCAACCGCCTTCTTGTACCATCCTTCCATATCGGTGGGGAGTGGGTTGACATTCATGATTCGCTCAAGAAGTCGTCGGGATAGTCCAATTTTAAAGTAATGGAGGCGTGCTGGGTATTCCATGATTTTGGCCTTTTTCATAAGTACCAGGAACAAATTAACGTAATCCTGTACTTCTCCCATTTGACGGAGGGATTCAAGGTCTTTCATCGCTGATCCCATGGGGTCGGTCTCTTGGAATGCTTTGTTGAAGTCGATGACCCATGCGTCGAAGGTTCCATAGTCCTTCAGTTTTCCTAGGTCATCGGTGTGGTCATCGTACCACATCTCAGCCCATGCTTCGGCCATTCCTCCTCTCATGAAGGACATCGCGAATGTGATCTTCTTCTTGTTGCTATTGTAAATTTCGTCATTGATATCGACATACGTCTGAACCCTTTGTAGGAATATCTTTGTTTTGCTCGTATCTCCCGAGAAGGGTTCAGGTTGGGAGAGTTTGAGCTCGGTTGGCTTTTGCGCCTGCATCGTGGGAGTCGGGTTCAGAACGATGTGTCTGTGGACTGGGATTGCAGAAAAGGCTGCTGCAGGTATAAGCTGTGTGGGGATCGGTGCTGGGGCTGTTGCCTCTGCTTCCGATTCTGCTTCTGATTCTGCTTCTGCTGCTGCTGCTGCTGCTGCTTCTCCTAGTGGATGTCCCGGGGTTATTTCGTCAACTCCTCGTTGTATTTCTGCTGGGTCGATTAGTCGGTCGACGTTTTGCCTTGCTGCAGTATATATCGCGAAGCGTTCTGCTTCGTTCGGATAGTCTCTGGTGAATTCTTCAAGAATTCTTCAGTAGGTTGCTTCGTCTGATGCAAGCCTCCAACCCGGTCTCCCTTCTCTGATAGTCAGGAGGGCTCTGAATTCTCTCGATGATGAGCCTCGGTGGATTGGATGTCCTAGGTTTTCGTCCCACCTGAAGGTCGAGGACACGAAAATTCTTCTAGTCCTCGAAAATCCAGTGTGTCAATGTTTTCCTAACCTTTCCGCACCCCGGGTAACTCGCCCTGCTAGGTGTTTATCGGCTAAGGTTCGTTGGGTTTCTGTAAACGTAGTTCTGCTCTAAACTTGAAAAGGTTGAGCAGTATCGGATAGTCTCGATCTTATGATACGCTGGGGCGTACCACTTGTCCGAGGTTCGTCAAGCAAGTACTAAGTGGTTCGACGACTAAGTAAACGCGAGTCAAGAATCGAGAGTCAAGAAGATCACACAAGGACTAGTGATAATCCCGTGTATTGAGAGGTAAAGTAACCAGATCAAGACTGGGGTTCCAGTCGACGATCTCAGCCTTATATACTAATAGTACATGTTGAGTAATACATGCCAGTAATGGCTGAGTCAGTGAGTACCCTCGCGGTGAGGGATGAGTCAGTGAGTACCCTCACAGTGAGGGATGAGTCAGTACAGGTTCTAGACTATGGTCTAGAGAGAGTCCAGATCGAGTCGACAGATATCGAGACTCGAAGTCTCGGGTTAACGCGTAATTGTACAATGTAATCAAAAGAAAAAAGATAGGTACTCAACGTACCGTCGTAACACTGGTCAACTTTGTGCTCCTTGGCTTGAACCTGGATGAGGCTGGTGGGCATGTGCCCTACACTCCTTCTATCCTTCACTTTCTCCTCCATACCCATGTCATCTCCATCCTGCACCTCTCCACCCTCCAAGATCTGACCTCCAGCCACCAATCCACTGCCGCGACATTTCCATCAGGTAGATGGTATGGCGCTGTGGATATCAGTGCCCTGTCTCACATTCTGCATGCGTAGCTGACTCACCTTGTGTCCACCATTGCATGCCGATGTCTGCACATGGCTCTGGGTCCTTCACCGTGTTGGGATACCTCGCAAATATCCTCAGATCATTCTTGCGAATCTTGAACAGCTGCACCTTGTGCATGGCTGAGTGAGTGAACTCCACTATAGCACTGAGCACAATGGCGGGCATGGGCAGGGTGCACACCGAACCTTTCACCTTACCCTGGAATGCATCCTGCAGAGTGCTTATAGTAAGCATACACCCTGATTGTGATTCACACTCACCATCTCCTGATAGAACCTCCAAGTACCCCAGTGTGCCTTCAGCCAGTGCAGTGGTGACAATTGCAGTGAGATGTACAGCTTGACGTCTTTAAGGAGGTTGGCAGACATGGTGATATTCAAGAAAAGAAGCAATGAGGAGGCCAGAGTAGCAAGGGAGCTGGTGATGGCAACTTGGCAAAGTTCAACATGGCACGCTGTGCACATATGTCATGTGACAAGTACATGCACTGTAGACTTTAGCAATTTTGCGAATTTGCACAATTCAGAATCTCATCCACTTGCACACTTTCATGGCATGAAAGGCTGGCGGTAGTAAGTTCTGAGTTTTTTGTGGACAGATCTGCACTTTTTGGTTCTATTACTGACCTCCTTGTGCCATATCTAATTTAATTACAGCTCTGATCACTCGTGATGAAAAGGTAATCACACATAGATCTACCTGCCACCATGTATCCAACCCTGGCGAGGAGACTGGAGCACATGGAGTTGCAATAGAGGGAGTAGAGGTTGATACTGGTGTGTTAGATCAGTGTCACATTGCTGCTACCTAGACTTTTCACCCTTGCAGACTCGACTTCACGAGCTGGCATGCTGTCCCAAGCACCCTCACCTTCCCCACCTGCCAGGGAGGCTATGCTGTCCCCTGCACTATCTGCCAGAGAGCCTATGCTGATGCAGGGGTTTTCGCCTTCTGCCAGACAGCATAACTGAAAGGTGTGGAACCTGTGGACACCTCATGGATACAGTCTTACCAGCATCATTAACCTGGTTTCCCTGCTATCCATGGAGCTGAGGTTCATTCATACTGCTGTTAATTTGTCATTGTTCTAACTGTCCTTGCAGTATTATTTCCTTTGGCACTAATGAAGGAATCAGCAGGCAAACCATTCATTTTCTGCCACATCAGTCCATGATTCAGTTAGAAGACACCCATTAGAGTAGAAGGATGTGGTTATCCTACAGGGAACATGTCATTATATTATTTTTGCAATATGTTAATTTCTCTGAGACCCTAGATATGGAATGCAGCTCACACAAATATTGGAACCCCAGGACCACTTGACCAATGTGTGGAGACCACTGATTGGAGGCCAATTGTTCCTTCACTGTGAGGACATGGTTCATTTGCTTGATAGGTCCTACAACAGTGGCATAGCATTTGCTAGAGGAGATATTATTGGTGTGTCATTTTGTTGGCCAGCCATACTCCCCATCACTAATATTACAACCTATGCTCCTTCACACTGCCAATTAAGCTGGAACAAGCTGGGTATGCACTGTCTGTGGGTCAACATCAAGGTCCCACTCCACAGCAAAGCAATAGCAGGCCAGACGAGCTCGAACAAGCTGGAGGTGTGTACCATCTAGGAGCCAATCTGACATCACAGAGCTTGGACACACTGAACCTGTAATGTCTAGCAGGATGCAGAGTCTTTGCCCCTTCCACCACTATGAAAACCATCGCTGTTGCCCTTATTATTACTGTAGGGGTGCTTTTCCTTGCCATCCTCCTTCTTTCCTCTTACTATGTCATCACTTGTGTCTGGCGGGCCGCTCCCACTAGATCGAATTAGAATGCATCAGTATCCAATCAACCGTCCCATTGCATGACCAAGCTATGCCACCTCATGCACATCTGGTGACACTCTCTGGACTTCACCACTCAGCAGCTCAATGACCTGGATGACCTTGCATCTATGATGCTGCATGAGAGCGAGATAAAAGCTGATCATCCATCCAAGTCCAAATTGCGTGACAAGGAACATTGAGATGTAGTGGAATGAGTGGGTTCTGAGGGAGGTATATGGGGTGGTTCTTATGTTGTGTTGAAGAGAGAAGACTGGTTGAATCAAGGGGAAGTGTTAGATTAGATAATTTGTCACTCTCCCAAAGGTCTAGCTAGACTCAAAGCAATGCAAGGTGCTGTGCACCTAGATACCTGCTAATTAGTCAGGGTGGGCTAAAACAAGGTGTAATGTGATCTTGCAGTGTGGCAAGTTTGGCAGTGCAAGGCAGCTGCAAATAGATCTGCAGTGAGCTTGGCAGTGCTAAGCAGCTGCAGAAAGATATCTGAGCAAAAGAACACAGGTTGTCTTGCTAAAAAGAGCAGAGGATAAAAGGTGGAGGATCTTTAAGACTGCAATGCTGCAGAAGCATGTTTGCCCAAGCACACATTGTGTCACTGGTCACAGTTCATGCCACGGGAAATGTGACTCCAGGAGCATGTGCAGTCAGGTGCACTCCAGGTCATGTTTCTCACTGTATGAAACTTAAGCACCTCAAAGCACTTAACATTTCAGAAAATGTGACCTCCAAGTCCATATGACCTCCAGACTCTGAATTTTTGGCATTCTCTGTCCTCTCTTCCTGTCCTCCTCCTGTCCTTCACCCTGAGCAAATGCTCCATCTCAGTGATGCCTCAGATTGTGAATGGCCTGCACACTGAACTTAGCTGCAGACAAGAAATTTATTTTACCTGGTCCTCCGACTTCTCCCTCTGCACCAAATTGCAGACTGCACCTGTTACCTAGTATCATCCAGACTGTACTCACAGTGCTCAAGACCGATAACTCCACAATTCCCGAGGGACAGGTTGCTACAGCATGTACAGATGGAGGCATGGACATTGGCAGTATGAACACTTGGTGAGTCACATTTGGGTAGCCCTAATGGCAGCAGACTGTAGGCAAAATACTCCCATCTGCAGTCAGCAGATGATATTCGGTGAGTGTTGTGGTCAGGATGATGATCAGACCTGCACGACTTCCCCAGGCATTGTCGGCATTAGCTGCATGCCCATTCCTGTCATTGTCTAATGGCCCCCGCACCCTGAGCTTAAAATGTCCTCCAGAAGATTTAACAGTCACTGCATCTGACACCACAGATGCAGTGGACGCTATTTAGCAGATATTCTGGGCACATTTGAGTAAGATGATTTAGTTCGAGCAACCTGAGTTCATTGATCAATGCGCACATATGTTATGATTCCTGAGGTACGAAGCAATTGTTCTTATACAGGATGAGCCCTAGAGGGCACTTAGACCGTAACACGGTTTTCCCCAAACTGTGGGAATAGTTTTTGACTACAAATTTTGTATGTGTGACCTAAGGTTAGGGCTGAGTTTGTAGGAATGCCATAAGGGTTAGGGTTAAGCTCCATCTATAAATGTTCTAACAGCTACTTACTCAACTACAATGTAACTACAGGCAGACATTCAAAAAAAGTTGTATTGAAAACCAATGTGACTTGTACAAAGCACTGTTAACAGATGGGTGGCTGGAGCACTTAGATTAGATAATAGATACTAGTCAGGTATTCAGGTGCTTCAACAGTTGCAGTTGACCTCAGACTATTGCACAAGCAGCAACAGATGGCGCAGTGGCGATGATAAAATTCTCTTCCAGTCTGAGCTACTGTAAAGTCTCTACAAACACATACTAGGTGACATTTTAAACTATTGTAAAGCCTTTACAACACAAACTAGATGACATATCAGAATATTATAAACTATTGTAAAAGCCTTTACAACACAAACTAGATGACATATCAGAATATTATAACATCCTTACAAACTGATACTAGAGGGTGTACTTTATACCACTTTGTAGGCTACTGTAAAGCCCTCGTGAGCCAATACTAGGCCAATGGCCTGCCGGATTTCGAACATGTGTTATAAGCAGTGGCCACCGGCTATAGAACAGCTACATCTCACAGCTACATGGTTGTTGCACTCGCTGTATGCCAGCACCTCCGATGCCACTACCTCACCACCTTGCCATTATGTTACATCCTGTCCTTGGTCACACCTGGTCCTGCCAGTTGGCCGGTTTGGATCCTTGAGGTCACAGGTCACACCCTCCACCGTGTTGATCGAAAATGTATAGTAAGATGTTGCGGTATATGGACCATTATATTAGTACTCACAGAAATCTCTTTACCATTCATCTCATTGTTGATGTGATTTGACACTTGGGTGACATTATGCAGTGGTATGACTGTCGTCAGTTAACATACTGTAATATAAAATGAATTAAACTGGGTCAGTCTGAGAAAAGAAGTAAGAACAATGAATACAGAGACACACTGGACAATCCATAGGTCTACATTGACCTACATTATACCACAAACATGGGAAGATGGTCAAACCTACATTCCATGCCCAGATAAATGTAGTGAAGGGAGTTTGGGGTCAGGTAGAGAAGGAAAGCCAGGAGGACAAAGAACTCACCTAAATGAACAACCTGGGGCTTGATCTGCTGCTATTCCAATGTGTAATGATGGGCAAGGCAGCCATTCTAAAGTACAGCCCTTGGTTGGAAGCCTAGAATATAATTTCGATTTAATTGTCTGGCTCACAGAAAATAAGTGAATACAGGGACACACCGGACAATCCAGAGGTTTATATTCATCTACATTATCCCTAAAACATGGGAAGAAGGTCAAATCTACAATCCATGCTCAGATAAATGCAGTATAGAGAGTTTGGGGTCAGGAAGAGGAGGAGAGCTAGGAGGATGAAAAACTCACCTAAATGGACAAACGAGGGCTTGATCTGGAACTATTCCAATGTACAATAATGGGTTAAGCAGCCGTTCTAAAGTACCGCCCTTGGTTGGAAGCCTAGAATATAATTTCGATTTAATTGTCTGGCTCACAGAAAATAAGTGAGAACAGTGAATACAGGGACACACCAGACAATCCAGAGGGCTATATTCATCTACATTATCCCTAAAACATGGGAAAAAGGTCAAACCAACAGTCCATGCTCAGATAAATGCTGTAAAGAGAGTTTGGGAAAATAAGTGAGAACAGTGAATACAGGGACACACCAGACAATCCAGAGGGCTATATTCATCTACATTATCCCTAAAACATGGGAAGAAGGTCAAACCAACAGTCCATGCTCAGGTAAATGCTGTAAAGAGAGTTTGGGGTCAGGAAGAGAAGAAAGGCTAGGAGGATGAAGAGCTTACACCGGAGATGGGGACTAATATCTAAGTTCCTTACATTGTGAGAACATCCGGCCTAACATTGTACATGTATGACAGCCCATATGTAGCTCCGATGGTCGAAAATATGTTTACAATGTAAGACCCGATGTCTGGGCATGTGATACCCAAATCACACATTGATAATGTGTGATATTGTGACATATACAATGTTCACAAATGACTATGTTACCATATAACATTCGTCCGAAAATTTTAGGTCTCGTTTGGTATGTCCGGTGGGAAGAAATTCTGATCGGCATTATGCCTTTCAGGGCAGACAACAGATTAAATATTGAACTAGTATAAGGGCGACAGAAAGTTACAATGTATGATCATTTGACATTTGACATTGGAGTCTATATATGAGGTGAGATGTCAGGGCCTCAAACCCTCGGCCTAATATTCAAACTGTAAGGAGGTCAGACACCCATAGCACCGCTAAGCAGCTTGATGAGTGGCACACTCGATGGCCGCTTAGTGGTTATTGGATCGCCAAGTGTACCGCTCGGCAGCTTTTCAACTGGTCGTGGGAGATCGCACAAGCACAAGCACAAGTTCGGTCAAAGGAAGTTCATTAACTGTATATAATGAGAAAGCGGCAAATGACAGGACATCGACAAACAGTGCAGGATGCAACGATGAGGGGCAAGGGACAGGAACAGCACGTAAAATTACGAGAAAACCACTTATTTGCACACAAGCTGGGCCAAGTCATCCCTATGCACCCTAAGCATCCTGCTGCCTTCTTCCAGTACTAGAGCAAGCGGGTCTGCCATGCCCTGCATCATTTTGCCATACGCTCTGAAGTTGGGGCCACACTTACACACAATCACATAACCGCCAGGGCCTGGTCACAATATGGCGAGGTCTTGGAGAGAGACATCAGCATATTCCAGCTTTCGCGTCCAGTATTCACATCACACCTTGCCATCCACTGGGGAGGCTCCCTTCACCATGGTCATCAGCTTGTCTCAGAGTTGACTGGCTGTGCACATGAACTTGAAGCGATAACTATGGAATGCAGGTGCCACAATCCATCCATTGGGTCCTGATATAAATTCAGTGGACATTTTGTGTTGATGATGAGGCTACACACCATTAGGTTCAACTGAAGATGTCGATCCATCAGGTCCTAATGTGGATTTAGCGGATGCTCGGTAGTGGCAGCGCGGTTATGCACCATCAAGTTCCACCAAATACGCCCACACCGAATCTGTGTCGTGTGACGCGGGTTCTAATTCGTGGCCCAATGAGGTTGAGGCCGCTCAGGGAGCAGACCACGCTTCGCCGTGTCGATGTTGCCCCTGCAATGAGGCAGTTAGATATGACCAGAACTACAAGTAATGAATCTTACCTTTCTTCTGACCGGAACGCGATCTCGGGCTTTCGGAACAAGAGGACACCCCTCAAGGTTAAAAGCTTGGCTTCAAGCTCAACCTCATAATCGCCATGGTATGTGACGTTTCGCAATGTGCCCACAAATCCCTTCAAAGGGCCTTTGATGACATGCACCGCTTGCCTGATGTCAGAATTCTGGTGGTCAGAATGCTTGAGGGCAAGCTCCATCTCCACCTCTTCCTCCATTTGCATCTCAGAGCATGAGGGGCACTGCTCTCCCAGCCTTGATACTGTCTCTGTCAGCCGTATCGAGGTCCATTCCACCTCAGACTCTGTGAGTAAGAGATCTCAGGGTAACACATGATGCTATATCAAGTTTTGAGCATCGATAATGTCGCAGGTGGTGGGACATATCTCAGAGGTTTCCAACACAGAAGAAGTATGAAAGACTCCCATTATTGGGTTTCTAGTTCGCTGAGAAAAGTTCAGTACTTGGAAGCATTGTCATACGTAGAACGTACATGCTGAGGGAAGTTTTGCTATTAAGAATTGCAATTGCATGAGAAGTGCACAATGTACCTCGACTTTGTTTGCGTGAACAATCGTGACATCGAAATCATCCACGGCAATCACTTGCCCTTCCAAGCCCGCATGGAGGCCCATCTTAACTTTGACCGCATCGCCAACTGCCCAAAGGGGGTGTAACTGAGTTACAGGTAGCACGAGAGATGAAAGTTCATCATCCAACTTCTCATGGTAGAGATTGGTTAGCATAGCCTGTCCATTAATGACTCAATGCACGACACCAATGAGGCCGCATTGCTCGCCTTGTATAATGATCACATGCGTGCCTGCAGCTGGTTCGAAGTCACCACAGAATAGAATGAGCTTCACTATTGCTGTCTTTGGTATGAATTTCGCCGCATTAAAGACGAATATGTCATTTTGAGTTGCATGGAAGTCAAAAGTCACCCAGTCCAAAGTGAGTTCAAGCTGCAGGAGGCCGCCTTTGAACTTCTTGCCCTTGAGAATATGTATCAGCTGATCACCTTCACTTTCTGTCACAGCCTCTCTGAACAACTCCTTCAGTAATGCTGGTGGCATTGGTTGCTGAGAAGTTCTTCCGTGCTGCCGCTTTTTTGTAGTAGCCAAGCATGGAACCACCCAGATGCAGAGGAGAGAGTCCTCTTGCGACTCCATGAAGGCCACATTGTGCTTATATGTACCACGCGAGATGCACACCCAAGGAGAGAGGAAACCATTTTCCGTGGCTTGAAGGTGGATTCCATCGAGGGCAAGAGAGACGACTGCGCCACCCAACTGTGAGGCCCGCTATGCACATCTAGCCGCCATGTCTCTCTCCGTAATAGACCAGGCCATGGGTTCTGCCTCAGCAGCATCATTGCCGACACATGCATTATCAAGACGCACCCGAGCTTGTTGAGTGCATTGGACGTCGGCGAGCAACTTGGCTGGAAAGCTGTAAGATATATCCAATAATGCAGCTGAGACACTTACCCAGTTCCTCCTCCTCCTCCTCCTCCTCCTCTTCATTGTTGACGATAACCTCAATATCCAAGTATGTGTTCTTGGCATTCCATGCATGAGGATTGAAAATGTAAGAACTGACTGCAGTACTTACCACTTTCTGCGCACGCTTTGAAGACATGGCAGCATCAGTGGTACTGAGAGGTCGGGATAGTGTCTGTTAGATTTGAGCAATCGTATCTTATGAGACGTCGCTTGGAGTACACGAGGCTTTGACCATGAGGCGTTCATCACAACACGCGCAATGTCCTTCAATGTCATAGTGCTGGTGATGAGGTGTCACCGAGAAGATTTCCGATGTAGTGGCTGCTCCTGCAGTTGTGCATGAGCATGCACAAGTGCCGCATTCTCCTATACATTGAGAAACATGTCAGTATAGCTTAGCTACACTGCCCTTCATCCATATTGTGCACATACATCATTGCCAGCCTGTCAGCCTATCAACCTCAGCATGTACAATTGACCTGGTGCAATCTGGCTGTAAGTGCTTGCACGGGTGCATTAATGTCAACAGTCTTCATAAATTTTTACATGTAAGGTAATCAATAACTAAATCGGCTGCAATTTGATGGTATCCCACTCTGGTATGCAACCGGTGCAAAAGGGTGATGAAACAAACTGTCCGCACAAAGTCATTCTCTGTGAGGCAGCTTGGCTACCTGTACTATAGCTAAAGATAACGAGGACTCCACAAGAATAAATAACAATGAAACTACAAAAGAGAGTGAACTATACACTACAACATTACTAAAGGCTCCAGGCCACATAGTGAATGACAAGCGCTACGGCCAAGAGATGGTGGAACGAGAACAAGAGGAAAAATATGCCCATTCCACCTCCAGCGGAGCTTTGACGCATCCCATTGCTTTGTCCCACGCAAATAAGGCAGCCACACATCACGGGCCGCTTGTCATGAGCCACTTCTCAGCCTCTGTTTGTCTCGCACAAATAGACCGCATGCGCCATCTGACCGCTGTCCAGAATTTGGGCGCCTTCTTCCTTGCCTTCGAATTTCCATCATCCCTGCAATATCGACCAGTTCTTCCATCACCGTGTCTGCCTCCTCCTCGTCACCCATGCCCTCCTTGCCATTGTTGTTGTCGATGCTATCGCCCTCTTCCACTCCAGTGCCATCATCACTGCCCTTTTCCTCGCCCACATCGATGCCCTGAGGGCTTCCTCATAACACCCTCTTCCGCGCAGGTGCCCTCTTCCTCGCTGAGCTGCTCTCGTGCATGCCGCCATGCCTGTTTGAATTAGGGGCCGATAGTATACATTGTATTCGGGTTTGTACCAAACATAAACATAAGAACCGTGAAAATGCACCATTAATTGGCGCCTGAGCCGCTAGACTGAACCCACAGGCCAATATTTTTACTTGAAAGCCCAGAATGGCTGAGCGTACCATGTGAGTGCTCTACGCACATCGCTTACATGAATTCCATGCTGACGCTGTGCTTCTCGTTGACTTCCGTGACAGGTATTCGTGGAACCATCCAGCATGATGCTTCTAATCCCAGGTATGTTGCCTTTATATATCCTGCCTGCTGCTGCCAGGCTGATAACGCGAACCCATCACCATCCATCCTGGATTTCGCTGTCCACGCTACTCCCTCAGAATTTCGAAATGTCGCCTGCAAACATGTCAGACAAGGTGGATGCGGAAGTTTGCTGTCCACATTTCAGTTGCTGACATTACTCGCCTACGGGTCTCCGTGTCCCTGGTCCAATGTCCAAAATCTAGTACCGAGATGGACGCGGCGAGCACATCCCATCCGCCTTCATCGGACATGCGCACATCCTTACTGGAGGAGATCGAGGACCTGAAGTGTGAACAACAAAAATTAATGCAGCTGATCCTTATCTTAGAGAAGGATGTGAAGACCATGGAGCTCCGAGTCGAACAGTCAGAACGACGTGCAGTTCATGTTCGAGAGTTTGCAGAGGCTACAGCCGACCTGGCTACGCTGGTCCGCGCCGAGCGAGGATCATTGAGCACCCCTCCCCCTCCCCCTTATGGTGCATATGTGGATCAAAATCCTATTGATGACACGTGGATTCACTATTCCCAGGTGCCTGAGCTGCTTGCAGGGGGCATTGGTTTCACTGTTCATGTCATGTACCTCGCTCAATATTAATGTATCTTGTGCTCCGTTTGTGGACGGAGAATTATCTCTAGTCCTTCCGTTAGGCGGGCACCTGCGAAGGCTGCAAAGGTCACGTGTGAGACTCGACAGGATAAGTATAGACCATAAAGGATGTCATCGATTCATTCTGGTCAACACATTCTTGATCCTCGGAGAGGCAAATATTGCATCTTCTCCTGAGAATTGACTAAGAATAGTGTGAAGCACTGCTCCACGATTGATGGTAGAAAACTTTAGTGATTCAATAGCATTTTTATCCAGTCCATGCAAAGGATTGCTATTATTTGCAGTCCACTGTGAATGTTGCTCGGTGTTGAGTATGTAGTCTGCTGCCGCAATCTTTGGTAGGATCAGAACATGAGATATCAGTTCTAAAAAGTAATTGGCAGCCTCCCGGAGCACTGAAGCTACAGTGATCCTTTTTCGCAGAGAAGGTAGCTTGACTTTCCCATTTCCAAGTCCAGATAGCAGACCATATAGATCTTTTGGAACGTTCAGAGGAAAAGATTCAACAGGTGTGGCAGAGGATTGCACATTTGCCTCCTCATTTCTTGGGTTCTTGCGATCACATTGAGTCTTTAAAGAGCTCATGTGCTGCTCCACATATTGATATATGTGCTTGACAATAGAATGGAAGGCAGGATACAAATGTTTGAAGCGAGCGTCACCTTCTTGGACATAGCGTTCAAAGAGATATTGCTCATATCTGGCCCGACGTCAGAATACCAGTGATAGATGACAATATATGCTTGGCTAGTGGCCCACAGCATTGCCTCCGCTTGTTGAAGCTGAGGAAGCGAACAGACCATTTGAGAAAGCTGCTTCAGCACGACAAGTGCACCTGCTCCTGTCCAACCACCCTCTGGCAATGCAGCAATCTGGTCATTGAGATCACCTTGAGAAGTGAGAGCAGATAACCATTGTTTGGCATCCAAGATGACATTCAAGCTCAGCCTGCTATGATTTGCATGAACTTGCACAAGTTCCTCGCTCAGGCTCTGCACACCAAAGAGATCACAGAAAATCCCAACCAATGCAGGAATTGTTTACCTCTTAGATGGTGGCGCTATATCCTCATCAACTGTTGTCTCGAGTATTTTGTCAACTTGCTGAATTTCTGGCATGTCATCCATCTCTTCTTGCCCCTGCTGCAATGACATTGTGTCCTGCATGAGCACTGTGAACAAATTTCAGATAATTTGTAAAACTATACATAGTATGTGAAATACATACTTTGCCATATCTTCATCAGACACCCATGAATCATATTCAGTAGGATAATGCTGCCAATGCACTAGCCAGGTGTTTTCTATCTCCTGTAAATGTGTTAGGACATCGACAGAATAATCACACAGTCTTACATTATGACCAATGACTTCTTCTACTTCATACTCGCCACTCTCTTGTATATCCTGGTTTTCATGATTTCCTTCAACTGACAGTGGGTACTCATCTGACTGATTTGATATTGTAGAGTCCATACTTGGACAAAATCGCCTTTCATGTAGTGATTGTGAAGATCCTGGATCCTTTTGTGCATTGGAAGATTGGGCTGAAACCCTTCCAGAAAAGATGCTAAATTGTGGTCATGTCTTCCGAATGATGGTGGATGTTGGAGTAGAAACGATAGATGTAGCAGTTTCTGCTGCAGTCATAAGTGCCTATAATGCTGCATTGGCTTCTGGATCTTGATTCTCCTGAAAGTTCTGCCTGATAATCTGTGCATACTTGTTGTCTTGTCTGGATAGCCACATTGCATATTTCTCTGTAGTATTGAAGTGTCGCTGCACACGAGCTCATATATCAGCTACCATCTCCTGACTTGTGTGAAGTGGGCCATTGCTTCGCATGGCAATAACAATTCCTGAAAGACTTTAAGGAGATCTTAGAGATTGTCCCAATTATAATTTTTCAGATATTTCAGATATTTCATAAGTTCTAAAGCATGTAGTCTTAGTTTAAATTTGCTTAGGGTATACCTTACAATATTTCTACTAGTAAAGATGATAAAAATTGTTATTCTGTAATTTTTATAGTTTCTATATCAAACGTTTCTAGTCCTTAAGATTTATTATCAGAAAAATTTAGACTTTCTAGTGTTGGAACTATATCATTGGAAGCCTTATAATACATTACCTTGAATGCTGTCTTCTTACTCCAGTACTATCTAGTAACCAGATTACATAAGTCTATTATCTCTATAACTTTTAGTAAAAGACCTATAATAGTCTGGTCTAGTAGTATTTAATTATTAACTAGTAAAGATTTGATAATAATTTAGCATGTCACCTATACAACTTAATGCAAAAAGTTATGCTTAAAAGTGTTATAATATGGCTTGTAAAAATGGATACTAGAAAGTGTCATACTTTTACCAATAATTACTATATAAAAAGTCAATAAATGCTAAAAAGATGAAAAAGTATAGTAAAAAATAAGATCAGAAAGGACTGAGCATATTACTAATAATTGCATATAAAACAATAATGATCTTCTTTCCAAGACACTTTTCAATTACTTGTAGTCAACTTATAGCCACTTAAGGACAGCCATTACAAAATTTGTATCTAAATCTTACCCCTAGTCTTAATTTAGACGTGTCTCACACATGAAATTTTATAATCAAAATGTGTTCCCTTAGAGAAAATTACTTGCTTGGAGTGGGCCAATGCTAACGCATGGCAAGGATGATTCCTGATTTTAATATCTATTAGGCCTACACTTCTGATACATGTGTTTAGTCTTTTTTACACTCATCATTCAAAAGTATTACAGTTGTATATTTTTATAATTAAACATTCATTTTGCTACATTATAATCTAATACAGTCATGCTTTGACATATACTACAACAGAACTAATCTTTGATCTACACTTTGTCAGCGCTGTTGAATCCATACTTTCTATTTGTCCCTCTAGTATACAAGTCTGCCCAGTTGTAACCCCATCATTAAACCAGACACTTCCAGTTTTTG